GCTGTTCTGTCCCCTGCAGATATCTCCTTCCCCACCTGGACCTCACCCCCTGAAATCAAAAGCCAGGTGAGTGACTCCAGCTGGAACCAGAAGGCAGGGTCCCTCCACTCAGCCCACCATCCACCCATTTCCTTACACTCCCCGACCCATGCATGAGGCTCTCTAAGGCCTCATCTCTTTTCCCCAGAGTCTCTCTCGCTTCTTTGAAAGAGTCCAGGACCTACACCGAGACTTCAAGGCTGCTTCAGCCCAGGACACTATCCAGGTAAGGACAGGACTCAGGGGAGGCAGGTGGAGGCATCCCATAGAGACCCGAGGAAGCCTTGGTCTGGAAGAAGACCAACCCCAACACAATGGCCCCCTGCTCTGAGGCCCCGCTGTCCCAGGGTGGGTGGGAAGAGCAGACAAAGTATTTGTACTCACTGTTAGACCCCTGTACACCTATTAACACCTTTCCTCTTGTTCTGGACACTGAGCTTGCATTGTCCTTGGTAGCCATGACCAGGGGTTGACCTGTGAGTGGTGGATTGCACTAGCAAAGACCCAGGAAATCCCATCTGGTACCACCTTTGTCCCCAAATAGACAGGTTCTAGGGTCTGTTCTCAGAAGCTGAGTAGGCAGGGTCTTCCTGAAGCTTCTCTGGCACAAGATCCACTGGTTCTGTGTCCCCAATGCCCAGGACATCATACAGGAGGTGGATAATCTGCTCGAGACCCCAGGGGACCTGTTTACTCTGCCTCATTCAGAGCAGTACTGTGTGGCCACTAACCTGCTCACTGGCTGGGAGCACATCCTGAGAGAGCTGAGCAAGGCCTTGTCCAATGGGACACTGACCTTCAGGACAGCTGCAGGAACAGGCAAGTAACCAACCCCGCCTGCCCCCAGGCTCTGCTCTGCCTGCTCCTCACCTCATTCCTCTTCCCATCGCACTAGAGCTGAGTGATCACACTTGTACCTCCTTGTTACTCTCATAAACTTATTAAGATAGAAGATCAAAAGAAAATGAAATAAATTATCAATACTACACATTTTCATTGTAATATAAATTATCAGCAGATGAAATAACTATCCTATATAATAAAGCGTTAATATGAAAATTAACTGCCACGCCCTTGCAAAAGATGGCCGCCCCCATGTGTTCACAAGATGGCCGTGCCCATTTTGTCACAAGATGGCTGCCACAAGATGACTGCCGGCAGGGGAGGGCAGTTAGAGGCAACCAGGCAGCAGGGGAGGGCAGTTAGTGGTGACCAGGGTGGCAAGGGAGGGCAGTTAGGGGTGATTGTGCTGGCAGGGGAGGGCAGTTGGGGGCAATCGGGCTGGCAGGGGAGGGCAGTTGGGGGCCATTGGACCAGCAGGGGAGGGCAGTTGGGGGCCAGCAGGCCAGCAGGAGATCAGTTAGGTGTCAATCAGGCTGGCAGGGGAGCGATTAGGGGGCCATCAGGCTGGCAGGCAGAAGTGGTTAGGGGCAATCAGGCAGGCAAGCGGTTAAGAGCCAGCAGTCCTGGATTGTGAGAAGGATGTCTGGACATCCCCCGAGGGGTCCCAGATTGAAGAGGGTGCAAGCCGGGTTGAGGGACACCCCCCTCCCCCCGCATGAATTTCGTGCATCGGGCCCCTAGTTACTAAATATGTGCTGTATGCTCTGTAGACTGTTACAGAATAAACTTTTTTTTTTAATGTACATCTCCAAATAGGAGGGCAGTTGGAGATGACCAGGCTGGCAGGGGAGGGCAGTTGGGGGCGATTGGGCCTCAGGGAAGGGCAGTTGGGGGCCATCGGGCCAGCAGCGGACGGCAGTTGGGGGCGATCAGGCTGGCAGGGGAGCAGTGAGGTGTCAATCAAGACCGCAGAGGAGCAGTTATGGGGTGATCAGGCTGGCAGGCAGGTGAGTGGCTAGGATCCAGCAGTCCAGATTGTGAGAGGAATTTCCGACTGTCAGTTTAGGGATCAGGCCTAAACCGGCAGTCGGACATCCTCCGAGGAGTTCCAGATTGGAGATGGTGCAGGCTGAGCTGAGGGACACCCTCCCACACAGTTCACGAATTTTGTGCACTAGGCCTCTAGTAATAAATAAATTAAGATAAAATAGAAATGGCATCAGAAGAAACAAAATATTAAATTTGGAGGAATGCAATTTAATATTATCTGATATTAAAGTGATTTGTTTTATTGAGGTGAATTTCACATAACATAAAATCTACCATTTTAATCAAAGTGTACAATTCAGTGGCATTTAATACATTCAGAGTTGTACAGCCATCACATCTATTTCTTTTCTTCTTAATATGTTTTTGTTGATTTCAGAGAGAGGGAGAGAGAGAGAGAGAGATAGAAACATCAAAGATGAGATAAACCAAAGAACCTATATACTTATATGCATAGCCCATGGACAAGGGCAATAGGGTAGTGAAACCTGGGGGGTGGGTGTAGGGGCTGGGAGGAGGGGGGTAATGTTTTTAACATTTGTTGTTGTTGTTGTTGTTTTTAACATTTTTATTGATTTTTTTAGAGCAAGAGGAAGGGAGAGGGATAGAGAGATAGAAACATCAATGAGAGAGAAACATCATTGATTGGCTACCTCCTGCACACACGCCACAGGAGTTAGAGCCTGCAACCCAGGCATGTGCCCTGTCCCGGAATCAAACAGGAGGGGGAGGAGGGTGCCTCTTGGTTCCTGGGTCGATGCTCAATCACTGAACTACAGGGGCTGTGCCTGACTGCTCTATTTTTAGCTCTTAAATGTAGGTCTTTGACCCATTTTGACCAGATTTTTGTGTATTGTGTGAGGTGTGAGTCCATCTTCCTTTTTTCGCTTGTGCAGAGCCAGATGCCCCAGCACCATTTACGGGAGAGACTATTCTTTCCCTCATTGAAGGATTCTGTTGAAAATGGGTTAACCATAAATAAATGGGTTTCTTTCTGGAATCTCAATTTTATTTGAGGGTACACATGTCTACTCATATGGCAGTACCCTACTGCTCTGGTTACTGTATACTAATAATACATTTTGAAATCAGGAAGTGTGAGTACTCCAACTTTGTTTTTCATTTTGTTTGGGTATTGGGGCTTCTTGCAATACCATATGAATTTTAGAATGAGGTTTTCCATTTTTGCAAACAAAAATATGCTTTTGGAATATTGTTAGTATTGCATTGAATCTGTAGATCACTTTTGGGGATCTTGCCATGGTTAAAATATTAAGTCTTCCAATTCATAATCACAGAATACCTTTCCATTTATTTAGGGTTTTTAGATTTCTTTAGCAATATTTTGTAGTTTTCAGTGGACAAGTCTTGAGCCTTCTTGGATAACTTTATTCCTAATATTTTGTTGAAGATATTTGCACCTATGTTCATAAGAGTTAATGGTCTATTTTTTTGTTTTCTTTTGATGTCGTTTTCTAGTTTGGTTTTTAGAGTAATTGTGGCCTCATAAAATTATTCAATGTTCCCTTTCATTCTATTTTTTAGGAGTGTACAAGAATTTGTGTTAACTCTTCCTTAAATGGTTAGTTGAATTAAGGTCTGAACTTTTCATTTAGAAAGTTTTGATTAGAGATTTGATCTCCTTACTTGTGACAGGTCTGTTCACACTCTAGTTCTTCAGTTACTTTTATAGTTCTTCAGTTACTTTTATAGCTCTTCAGTTACTTTTATAGTTCATGGGTCTGTGGAAATTTGTTTATTTCATCAGGTTATATAATTTGTTGTTTCTCTGATAATCCTTTGAAAATTCAGATTGGTATATATATATATACATATATCATTCTTATGTATACAAAATATGTGTCTTATTATAACATATATATGGCATTATTTGGTATACCTATAATAATATTACTGATAATATTTGATATATAGTGTAACATAATATATAAAAAAGATATCTATACATTAAAATGGTATTATAACTACAACTGCTGGCACAGTTACTAGTCTAATTCCCTTATGTAACTCCCACAACTCATAGAACTGTCCCTGGAGGTGAAGAAGCAAGGAGACAAGAATGTCACCCTGAGCATTAATCAGGCAAAGATGCTGGTGAACTGGGATGTGGTGCAGGACTCAGGTGGCTCAGGTAATGACTGAGGTGGAGAGAAGGTCAATGAGGCTTCAAGTGGAACAAGACACCCAAGGATGTAACAAACAGAGAATTAAATATTAAAGGGAAGTATGGGCTGTGGTGGGTCAAAGGAGAGAATGCATCCCAGAAGGAAGGGGGCCTTTGGGACACCCTAAGATTTCAACCTTGTCCTTGTCCTGTAGGCCCTGCTGTGGTGGGCCTTGTCTCCTCTCCAGGGATGGGCAAGTTGCTGCTTGAGGCCCCCCTGTTCCTGGAAACTGAGAAGCAGTCAGTTCTGAATGAGACACACAAGGGCCTGCAGCAGGAAGTCTCCCCTGTCCTGCTCTCAGATGTCATATCCGCCTTTGTGAGCAACAAGGACACTCAGAACCTCAGCTCCCCAGTCACCTTTGTCTTCAAGCATGTGAGTGCTGGTGAAACGGGGCTGTGGGTGTGGAAGAGGCCTGAGTCCTGGACACAGTCTTGGGGTTCAGG